GTGTCCAAACCGAACAAGGAAAAATGCCTAGAATAGTAACTCAAGAAATGGTAACTCGTTAGAATAGTTATCTAAATATGATAAGAATATTATTAGAATTAAAAGATTATATAAGACTCGCTCTTATTTCATTACCAAAATCTCCCTTGCCACTGACAGCCGAAGAAATTGTAGTTTTACAAGAAAGTTTTTTTTTTTTTTTTTTTTGTAAGAGCTCTTCTCTCGTCTATACGGTTATTTTTAAAATAAATTTATTATATATATATAAAAAAAAGAAAAAATAAATAAATAAAAGCCGTTACGCGCTTATAAATAGTATGAATAAAAAAAAAAAAAGAGGAGATATTCGGGCGAAAACTTGATTTATATTTATATCAATACGTCTAAAGTCGAGCGCTTCGATGGTGTCGTTTGAATTTATGTTGTAAAATTTATTCGGTGGTTAGATTTGTTTTATTTGTTTCTGTTTAATTCGTTTTATTGATTTATTTGACGGTTGTTTTTATAGATAAAACGGGAATTAAAATTGATAACGTGACTCAAGCGAGAAAAATTGAATCGAGACGAAATAAACAAAAATCAGGAAATGAATAGGACATTGGTCGTTTTACAATCAATTGGTGAAGGTGATTCGAATTTAAACGCTCCAAAACAATTGTAAATTTCATTATGATTTCACATTTTTAACGGTTTTTTTTATTTTATTCTTAAATAATATTCTCCATTTTTTAAAATCACGCTTAACGAGAAGTTCGCGAAAATCACGAGACCGGGATAGGAAGAGGCGATTCGAGCCCTTCTAACGAAAAAAAAAATATATATAAATATATATACACACATATATAACATATATTTATACACATCTCTCCGGGATAATAATTAAATATATAGGAACCAGTTTCTAGAACCAATATTTACACAAGGCTTAGAGGCAATTAGGTCTAAGTTATCGAGACCCTTTCAATTAAGTCACATCCGGGCAATTCATGACTTTGGTTTAATCACGTGGATTGGACACGTGTTCTGCGCGACAGAATCCTGTTGACACATAGATTGTCAGTCGAAATGACACATTGTATGTAGTGTTACAATTAGATTACTGCTACGTTGGATTTGCATATTGTGAAGTGCCATAATTAAATTCCTGCCACAGAGATGTCAGGTAAACAGCGGGGAATGCCAACAGTAATCGCATTTTCTGAGCAAGTCTCAAGTTTGGTGGTTGAGGCACAGATGTTACTCCTATTTCCACATATGCAGATGGGCCAAGTGCCACCATTAAAATGCATCATATATCACAAACAAATCGTTTACTGCATACCAAAAATATACAATTTGATCGACTTTGATTCGCCCTTTCTGTAAATCTTTCCCCTTAAAATTTTATTATTATTTTTTTATGCTTATAAAAATATAAATACGGCATATCAATTCGCTAGAAAAATCGCTTGTGATACTATTTATTCTTTTAATAAACATGAAAATTTCCCTAAAATCCCGATTTTTTTTCTGGCGCGTTTAACTATTTAACGCGCTAATTAATAATCTCGGCATTAAAAAAAATTAATAATAAATCAGAAAATTTCCGTTTTGTACAATTAAAACCTTTCCGTTTTGTTCAGGTCGCCTCTAAACAAAAATCCGAAAAACGCGGAGAAACTTTCCATCCCCCGAAATTCGTTACGTCACGCACCACGTGATAGTGCTAATGACGTAGTTCACGCGTCACCAGAGCCGAACTCGGGAGTATAAATTAGCGTTCAGACGGAGTTAATTAAGTCTCGGGCGAAACGTGGCTGCAGATTTAATCAAGCAAAACTTTGTAGGTTTTTCCTCTTCCCCACTCTAGTATTTGAGTCCTTTTGACTTAATTACAAATTCTTTGTATTTACACCAAACATTTTCTTTTCAACTTTCATCAACTTTTTTTTCCGCTCTCTCTCTCTCCCTTCTGCTCCGCTCCTATTCTCTCTTCTACAGTTTTACAAAAGAAGAATTTTTAATTTTATTATTTATTATTTTATTTCCAAAGTAAAACGCACAGAAGAGAAATTCCACAAACTACCCGACGAAACTCGCAGCGCCATCTGACGACTAAAAAGGGCAAAAAAATTTATGGATTACTACTACTACTATATATTCAAAAATAATTAGATATTTAATTTTCTTTATAATAAAAACAAAGGTAAACACGAGAGATAAACACCAACACATTTTTATTTATATATAAAAGTTTCAAAATTTATAAATGAATTACACCAAAAAATTATGTACCATCTTCCTAAACTAAATAATACAAATGATTTATGATGGTATTTATTTTTTTGTTATTTTTTTTTTGTTTTTGACTTTAACAAAACAAACTTACACAAAATAGAGAAGAAAATATTTATGTTCCAGTATCAATTTACTAGAGGAAAAAGGAAAAAAAAATATTATGTGCAATCTTACAAAGTCTGTTGTAACTAACTATATATAAAAAATTGTGTTGCTGGTCAGTTACAATTTGTTCTATGTATATTTAGGACATTTCCACTGCATCGAGGGTACGAGGTGCGGTGTTCTAGGTCGAACCCGGTTATAGGTTTCAGTAGTCGACTAGCGGTTTGGTAGATCTTAGAGAGGAGGTGCGTGAACTGCTACGGTTGGCACTGCGAGAGAGAGTTTGAAATACGGTTAATGTTTTCTTAAACCTTGACTGGTAAAGCTATCGTATAAACTGCAACTACCTGTGTCTGTGCGATTGGTGGTATCGTTGTCTCGGACTGGGACTGCGGCTTCGGTTTCTTGCTTTGGATCTTCTCGGAGGTGTTCTCCTGGGAGAGTTTCGACGGGGAGATATTCTACGAGGACTTCTGTCTTTACTCCGACTTCTGCTCCTCCTGTGACTGTATCCGGATTTGGGACTGTGAGAGTCGGAATCATCTTTTCTCCTTCTGAATTCACGGTCGTCATCTTTTCCGTAGTGTTCGGAATGTCTGTTCCAACTAGAATCACTTTCTGGTTCGCGTTCACTTTCTAACATTCTATGACGCCTCTCTCTCTCTCTGTAAAGGGAAAAGTTAATTTAATTTAAAAAATTCCCATAATAAATTTCAACAATGTTATAAACAGATAATGGATAATCCTTTTATCATACAGTAATACTTTCCTATTATTGTGTGACTATAATCAAATATAGAAGTTACCTTACCAGATTTTAAACTAAATTTGCTATCTATGTTAAAGAAAATCTATAAATCTATTAAAAATATTATTAATTTTATTTAGCTAAAGTATATTCCGGGTGAAAACTTAATGAATTAAATTTTAAAATTACAGATAAATCAATTTTTATTCACCTCTGTCTCATTCGTATTGCCATCTCTCTTAATTCTTCGGCTCTATCCTATTAAAGAGAACATAAGCAACAAAATAAATAAAAATTAATTAAAGTTTAAAAAATTAAAACCAATTTTTATAAAGCAAATAACCGAAAAAGTAAAAATACCTGTCTTTCTTGTTGCTGTTTCTCATATTTTTCCATTTGCGCTCTTTTATCCGCCTTGTCTGAAAGAGAGAGAGACGGAGATTGTTTAAATATAAATGCCTCACTAAACATATTCATATTTTTAAAACAGAATTTAAAATGCTTGATGTATATACATTGTCTGTTGAGTGCCATTTGCATTCTTTTCTTTAGTCTTTCTTGTGGAGTTAGTTTTGACTGTAAAAAGAAAAACACTTTCGTGTTAAAACTTATGAGAGTATCTCCTGTATATATTTTTTTATTTAAACAATTATAATAATCTTTTTGTATTTATTTACATAGATTATTTCAATACTTTAAAAGAAAGTTTGCAATAAAAATTTTATTTTTGTTATATTCTTTTTTTTTTTTTTTTTTAACAGATTAATATTTATGATATTCATTTTAATCTTAAATAGAATAAAATTTAATATTAATTAAGTTAAATTTCTCTGTTTAAGAATACGATATCTATGTGGATTAAAAAGTTCATCTGTATACGAAATTAAATTTTATAATTTTTTTAAATGAACAGTTCAATTACATGTACATTTAACAGGAGCTAATTATAATATTTAAATATGTTTAGAAAAGTTGTTTCTTGAGATTCAATCAATTCATTATAATTTGAATTAAAATAAATAAATGACTGTTAAAAAAAAGTTATTATTTTCTACTCAAATAAAATGAGATCTGAAGAGCTAACTACTGCTTTAGCAGGGAATAAGTAAAATATTTACTGTGTTGTCAATACCAAAAATATTATAATTGAAAAAAGGTGTGAATTTAAAGTTCGTTTCAGATGATGCTGGAGTAAATTTCTAACATAACATCGAAGTTTTTTTTTTTTTAAAAACAAGACTAAGGAAACATAAGTAGTTCTTACTGACTTTGGTGGAAGGGCCAGCTTTACCCAATAGTGGCTGCGTCCTGGAAACAGAAAAGTTATTATTAAGCAAATTTTCTTATTCCATCGTCCTTTAATTTATCGGTTCAAAAAGCAAATATAAAATTCTAATTTAATTCTTTCCCATATTTACAAACCAAAAGACTTTCTACATTTGTAATATTAAAGTATGAATTTTGAAGCTACAAATTAAAATTTGATCCTGGATTGTATCTTTAGGCAGAATTATAATTTAAAGTTTATGAATTCTTATTAAAAAATTTTTCATTTAATTAATTATAATTACAAAATGAAAATAATCCTTCATATAATTTTAATTAATCAATTAATAATTTTTGCTGATTTTGACTTTTAAAAATTAGGAAATTATATAATTAATATCCGAAATTATCACTTTTTAATTTTATTAACATATTGGCAAAGATGAAAATGTTGTTTTTTTCTTAATTAAAATACAAGGATTAATATACAGTTCTGGAACTCTCTCATATTATTTATATGGATTATTATATATTTATAAACTTCATTTTAAAGTTGTTATCACAATTTGGAATTTCTTACAGAAACAACACTTCAGTTATAGTTAAATTAATTTTATTATTATGCAATAACAATAAATAAATTCATATATACAGTAGAACCTGCTCATTGTAATCGTCTGCTTATTTGGGATTCATCCATATTGATGATAATACACTGATTAGTGTTACTGGTCTATTAAGAAAATAAGAATACAATTAAATGGAAAATATATGATTTTATTCACGACATTAAAACAATTAAATATTGCATAACTTGAGATTTATTAAGTATAATTATAATTTTTATTAATTCACAGTAATTATTTGCTTGCTGTTTTTTGTAGTACTGTCTTTAGCAAACACTTACACATCGAAGAAAAAACAGCCAGTGATTTACACTTCTGTAACAATGGAGCAATAACAATCAAAATGATTATCTGTTTTATCCAGTGCTTTAATTGTCAATGATTACAGTTGTTGGCAGCATGTTGAAGTTGGTCGCAAGAAAAGAATTTAAAAAAATACCTATTTACTTGGATAACTGTTATCATTGAGTGTATATTAATCGCCAATTCCGATAAGAATTTAATGGCTGATAACAATACTCATGATTACAATTAGCAGATTCTAATGTATACTGGAACATACACATATAAATGTAAAAATTGTATAAGTTAATATTCTTTTTTTACTTTTAAGCAAAAATTAAAAAACAATATTTTATTTGTCAAACTTTCTTTGAAACTTCATTAAACATACAAAAAACAAATTTAATGTAATTATTAAATAGGTTAAACCGGGAAAAAAAGATAAGCTCTCTTGTAAAAGTTTTGTTTTAAAAAAACAAACTGCTTTTAAATTTAGAAAGTGAATAACTTTCTCATTGGCTTTAAGTGTAATTTTCAGAAAATTTTAAGATAGCAAAAGGTTTCCTCCCTTTCAAAAATTATTATTTTTGGATCGATACATAACAGAAATTCAATTAAAATGTTAGTAATATAAAATGCATATCAGTTTATTTTTAAAATAAATTATTATTAAGAGAAAGTAGAATTTATTTAACTGTAGAAGAAGAATAGAACCAAAATATTCAAAATTTAGAAGACAAGATATACAGTGGAACCTCGGTATACGACCTTAATCCGTTCCTGGTGTTTGGACAATTAAAGTTTAAAAAATTAAAACCAATTTTTATAAAGCAAATAACCGAAAAAGTAAAAATACCTGTCTTTCTTGTTGCTGTTTCTCATATTTTTCCATTTGCGCTCTTTTATCCGCCTTGTCTGAAAGAGAGAGAGACGGAGATTGTTTAAATATAAATGCCTCACTAAACATATTCATATTTTTAAAACAGAATTTAAAATGCTTGATGTATATACATTGTCTGTTGAGTGCCATTTGCATTCTTTTCTTTAGTCTTTCTTGTGGAGTTAGTTTTGACTGTAAAAAGAAAAACACTTTCGTGTTAAAACTTATGAGAGTATCTCCTGTATATATTTTTTTATTTAAACAATTATAATAATCTTTTTGTATTTATTTACATAGATTATTTCAATACTTTAAAAGAAAGTTTGCAATAAAAATTTTATTTTTGTTATATTCTTTTTTTTTTTTTTTTTTAACAGATTAATATTTATGATATTCATTTTAATCTTAAATAGAATAAAATTTAATATTAATTAAGTTAAATTTCTCTGTTTAAGAATACGATATCTATGTGGATTAAAAATTTCATCTGTATACGAAATTAAATTTTATAATTTTTTTAAATGAACAGTTCAATTACATGTACATTTAACAGGAGCTAATTATAATATTTAAATATGTTTAGAAAAGTTGTTTCTTGAGATTCAATCAATTCATTATAATTTGAATTAAAATAAATAAATGACTGTTAAAAAAAAGTTATTATTTTCTACTCAAATAAGATGAGATCTGAAGAGCTAACTACTGCTTTAGCAGGGAATAAGTAAAATATTTACTGTGTTGTCAATACCAAAAATATTATAATTGAAAAAAGGTGTGAATTTAAAGTTCGTTTCAGATGATGCTGGAGTAAATTTCTAACATAACATCGAAGTTTTTTTTTTTTTTAAAAAACAAGACTAAGGAAACATAAGTAGTTCTTACTGACTTTGGTGGAAGGGCCAGCTTTACCCAATAGTGGCTGCGTCCTGGAAACAGAAAAGTTATTATTAAGCAAATTTTCTTATTCCATCGTCCTTTAATTTATCGGTTCAAAAAGCAAATATAAAATTCTAATTTAATTCTTTCCCATATTTACAAACCAAAAGACTTTCTACATTTGTAATATTAAAGTATGAATTTTGAAGCTACAAATTAAAATTTGATCCTGGATTGTATCTTTAGGCAGAATTATAATTTAAAGTTTATGAATTCTTATTAAAAAATTTTTCATTTAATTAATTATAATTACAAAATGAAAATAATCCTTCATATAATTTTAATTAATCAATTAATAATTTTTGCTGATTTTGACTTTTAAAAATTAGGAAATGATATAATTAATATCCGAAATTATCACTTTTTAATTTTATTAACATATTGGCAAAGATGAAAATGTTGTTTTTTTCTTAATTAAAATACAAGGATTAATATACAGTTCTGGAACTCTCTCATATTATTTATATGGATTATTATATATTTATAAACTTCATTTTAAAGTTGTTATCACAATTTGGAATTTCTTACAGAAACAACACTTCAGTTATAGTTAAATTAATTTTATTATTATGCAATAACAATAAATAAATTCATATATACAGTAGAACCTGCTCATTGTAATCGTCTGCTTATTTGGGATTCATCCATATTGATGATAATACACTGATTAGTGTTACTGGTCTATTAAGAAAATAAGAATACAATTAAATGGAAAATATATGATTTTATTCACGACATTAAAACAATTAAATATTGCATAACTTGAGATTTATTAAGTATAATTATAATTTTTATTAATTCACAGTAATTATTTGCTTGCTGTTTTTTGTAGTACTGTCTTTAGCAAACACTTACACATCGAAGAAAAAACAGCCAGTGATTTAAACTTCTGTAACAATGGAGCAATAACAATCAAAATGATTATCTGTTTTATCCAGTGCTTTAATTGTCAATGATTACAGTTGTTGGCAGCATGTTGAAGTTGGTCGCAAGAAAAGAATTTAAAAAAAATACCTATTTACTTGGATAACTGTTATCATTGAGTGTATATTAATCGCCAATTCCGATAAGAATTTAATGGCTGATAACAATACTCATGATTACAATTAGCAGATTCTAATGTATACTGGAACATACACATATAAATGTAAAAATTGTATAAGTTAATATTCTTTTTTTACTTTTAAGCAAAAATTAAAAAACAATATTTTATTTGTCAAACTTTCTTTGAAACTTCATTAAACATACAAAAAACAAATTTAATGTAATTATTAAATAGGTTAAACCGGGGAAAAAAGATAAGCTCTCTTGTAAAAGTTTTGCTTTAAAAAAAACAAACTGTTTTTAAATTTAGAAAGTGAATAACTTTCTCATTGGCTTTAAGTGTAATTTTCAGAAAATTTTAAGATAGCAAAAGGTTTCCTCCCTTTCAAAAATTATTATTTTTGGATCGATACATAACAGAAATTCAATTAAAATGTTAGTAATATAAAATGCATATCAGTCTATTTTTAAAATAAATTATTATTAAGAGAAAGTAGAATTTATTTAACTGTAGAAGAAGAATAGAACCAAAATATTCAAAATTTAGAAGACAAGATATACAGTGGAACCTCGGTATACGACCTTAATCCGTTCCTGGTGTTTGGACTTATACCAAATAGGACGTATACCAAACCAACCTTTTCCATAAGAAGTAATGTAAAAATGATTAATCCGTACTCNTATAAAACTCATTCCTACCATGAAAATAAGCTTTTTAATATTATAAAATAGCAAAAAGCTTTATCATATTTTAGCTAAAAATATAAAAACAGATGGTGTCACTAAAATATATGTTGTCAGGAAAGTTAAGCAACTTGTTGCTGGTTTATTTGTTTTTATTTATTTTAAATTAACAGTAAAATGGATGCAATAGGTCTAATCTATATTAAATAAGCTTCAAAATTATGTATGAAACATAATTATAATTCATACACAAGTATCATAATGAATTGGAAATAGATTTTGCCATAGTATATTTTGTACTGTTTGTAATTGATTTTATTCATACCATATAGTAATAATACTGGCTCTTTAACAAAGATGAAATAAAATTAAAAAATATAACATGTATATTGCATTATTACGGAATGTTCTTAAAGCATGTTCAGTTTAAGACTTTCTGCAATAGTGAACACCTCCACAATTAGTCTGTTGAAAAAGGGCCTACTGTACTTATGTATTGTGCAAAATTTAACTATTACATTTAATTCTAATTACACTTGATTCTAATGCACACTCAATTTTAAAATGTCAATATCCAAACAAAGTTAACTTGTAAATGTAATGCACACCCTATGTTGTAAATGCAGCCACAAAATTTTATGCATTTAAACAGTGACAAACACATTTTCGAATGTATTTATTATGACTCCATTATCACTTACAGAGAATCTATAGACCAATACAAAATCATAGTCAATCACCATACGACCAGTGTTTTAATAGCAAGATTACACATCAGTATGCACATGCATAAAGTTTGCCAGATACATAGTATCATGCTGAAATATCTGTATGTGTTTATCAACACAACTTTATAGGAGATTTATCTGCTGAACATTGTTTGCTTTGGCTTGTAGTTCAACAGACTGCCAAACCATTTCAAATCAAAATTAAAACCAAAGTAATGGAAGGACATGTACCATGATTATACTAATATTGTAATACATGCAAATTGCCAAACTGAGTGAAGAGTAAATTATGTGAACGAGGCTGCATTAAGTTGACTTTGTACTTGATTCTAATGTGTATACCTCTTTTCCCTAAAAAAAAGTCCAAAAGAGGTGTGCATTAGTATCAAGAAAACACTGTATTTGCAATTTGTTTTATAGATTATTGCATTCATAATAAATCATTCACACTGTTCTATGTAAACAATTAATTTTTGTTTGATAGAATTTAGATTCTGATTGTTTAGAAATAAATTGGTTTTTTTTAATATTTTAAGACACCACATACTTTTAAATTAGTGTTTGTTTGAAAAGTTTTAATAGTGTGTGTTAATTATAATTAACAAAATACTGCCAAATAATTAAAACCATTGTATATTCATTACAACAAATGTGCTTGTCTTCATAATATTAGACCATGCATTTGTAAACTAAATAATCTTTATGTTGTGTTGTAGAATTTTCATTCTCCCAATATTGTTTATACAATATCAGTTCATCAAAAATTGATATAATTAATTTTGATGAAAGATGATAGATAAAATATCATTTAAAATGTGCTTTAAGTTACACAAAGAAATAAAAACAGTTTTAAAAATATCTTAATTTACAGCTAAATATTTATTATTTGTTACTCTAAAAAAAAATATATAAAATGTGCTGTATAGTTGATGGTGCCTGTCATTATTTTATATTTATTATCAAGTTATGATGCTCAATATAAATTTTATTATATTAAGGATGATGATAAGTTATAATCTTACTTCATCCGTTAGTACATATTTTCTATTAACAGGACTTATAAGTCCTGTTAATAGAAAATATGTACTAACGGATGAAGTAAGATTATAACTTATCATCATCCTTAATATAATAAAATTTATATTGAGCATCATAACTTGATAATAAATATAAAATAATGACAGGCACCATCAACTATACAGCACATTTTATATATTTTTTTTTAGAGTAACAAATAATAAATATTTAGCTGTAAATTAAGATATTTTTAAAACTGTTTTTATTTCTTTGTGTAACTTAAAGCACATTTTAAATGATATTTTATCTATCATCTTTCATCAAAATTAATTATATCAATTTTTGATGAACTGATATTGTATAAACAATATTGGGAGAATGAAAATTCTACAACACAACATAAAGATTATTTAGTTTACAAATGCATGGTCTAATATTATGAAGACAAGCACATTTGTTGTAATGAATATACAATGGTTTTAATTATTTGGCAGTATTTTGTTAATTATAATTAACACACACTATTAAAACTTTTCAAACAAACACTAATTTAAAAGTATGTGGTGTCTTAAAATATTAAAAAAAACCAATTTATTTCTAAACAATCAGAATCTAAATTCTATCAAACAAAAATTAATTGTTTACATAGAACAGTGTGAATGATTTATTATGAATGCAATAATCTATAAAACAAATTGCAAATACAGTGTTTTCTTGATACTAATGCACACCTCTTTTGGACTTTTTTTTAGGGAAAAGAGGTATACACATTAGAATCAAGTACAAAGTCAACTTAATGCAGCCTCGTTCACATAATTTACTCTTCACTCAGTTTGGCAATTTGCATGTATTACAATATTAGTATAATCATGGTACATGTCCTTCCATTACTTTGGTTTTAATTTTGATTTGAAATGGTTTGGCAGTCTGTTGAACTACAAGCCAAAGCAAACAATGTTCAGCAGATAAATCTCCTATAAAGTTGTGTTGATAAACACATACAGATATTTCAGCATGATACTATGTATCTGGCAAACTTTATGCATGTGCATACTGATGTGTAATCTTGCTATTAAAACACTGGTCGTATGGTGATTGACTATGATTTTGTATTGGTCTGTAGATTCTCTGTAAGTGATAATGGAGTCATAATAAATACATTCGAAAATGTGTTTGTCACTGTTTAAATGCATAAAATTTTGTGGCTGCATTTACAACATAGGGTGTGCATTACATTTACAAGTTAACTTTGTTTGGATATTGACATTTTAAAATTGAGTGTGCATTAGAATCAAGTGTAATTAGAATTAAATGTAATAGTTAAATTTTGCACAATACATAAGTACAGTAGGCCCTTTTTCAACAGACTAATTGTGGAGGTGTTCACTATTGCAGAAAGTCTTAAACTGAACATGCTTTAAGAACATTCCGTAATAATGCAATATACATGTTATATTTTTTAATTTTATTTCATCTTTGTTAATTAAAGAGCCAGTATTATTACTATATGGTATGAATAAAATCAATTACAAACAGTACAAAATATACTATGGCAAAATCTATTTCCAATTCATTATGATACTTGTGTATGAATTATAATTATGTTTCATACATAATTTTGAAGCTTATTTAATATAGATTAGACCTATTGCATCCATTTTACTGTTAATTTAAAATAAATAAAAACAAATAAACCAGCAACAAGTTGCTTAACTTTCCTGACAACATATATTTTAGTGACACCATCTGTTTTTATATTTTTAGCTAAAATATGATAAAGCTTTTTGCTATTTTATAATATTAAAAAGCTTATTTTCATGGTAGGAATGAGTTTTATAAAAAATTGTAAATGCTAATAACGAGTAAAATTGTCATGAAGTCCAATCCCACTGGAGATACACATGATCACCTTTATCTCCCCAATCCCTCAAACAGCAAAATTTAATAGCATCAACCCCCCAATAAACAAGCCTCCCTGCAAAATTTCAGAAATTTTTGACAAAAAGGCAGAGGAGTTAAGCTTCAAACAGGGGAAACAAAATTGTGTCCTCAACATACACTAACATCCATCCATACATACAGAAATCGCTCCCCATTTTTTTCTGCATTTCTCAACATTTCAAGGTGTCCTAAGTCCAAAAATGTAAAATTCTTGGGGGGGCATTTTTTTGACTGATTGCCATACTTTCCCTCCATTATAAACAGCCAGGAAAGTAAAAATACATCCAAGTTTGCTCTTTCTTCAATGGCACTCCTCTCTGCCATTATGGCTGTTAAACTTAACCCCATCCAAGATAAAAATGCCTCTGAAAGTAAGTTCTAGTTGACACACTCTCGTTCATTTCCAATTATTTTTTTAAAATTTTGTTATTAATGGAAAAGATTAGTGTGAATTGGATTTTGGTCAGGAAGACACTTTTTCAAATAAAATGATGCCAAGTGAAGAACTCTTACAAGTATGAGAGAAAAACGAAAAACTACATTTGATTAATGGTCGTATATTAATTTTCATGTAGAAATGAATACATAATTATAAAGATATTTGCTCAAAACATGTTTTATATTGAAAATTTTGGGGTCTTAAATTAATAAAGCTTATGAAAAAAAATTTATTTGCTTCTTTATTTTCCCTATTTATCTGTTTAAAAACGATTTTTTTTACAGCAAATATTTCACTAGTTACAATTAGTATTATTATTATTATATATTGTACCAGTATATTGAGTAATTTATACTAATTGACCCATCTTTTAGTCTGTTCTATTTGCAATCAATAATAAAAGAAAAGTTATATATTTTCAAGACATTTTTTTTAATCTATTAAATCCACAGTTTATTGTATTAATTTATTAAATTCACCTTTCTAGATGAATTTAATAAATTAATACAGCCAGCCAAATTCAGCCAGAAAAAATTAAAATCAAAGTTTCTACCAAAAATTCTTCAAAAATAGTTATTGCTTTATTTATAAAATGATACATTTCCCTTCTGAAATGAAATATGCCAGAACTCATATGTAATAAAAACAAAATCGTCATCATAAAAAAAAATAAAAAACACTGAAAGTAATTATATGTAACTATTAAGAACTCAAACAATGCAATTTATCATACAGGGTGTATGAGAAAGATCTGTATTATGAAATTTCATTTAAAAACAAAATAGTTTATCAAAATGTAATTTGTGGTAAAAGAAAGGTTAACTCAAAAAGTTTTTTTAGTACAAAAACTAATACAGAAGCTAAAGTTGTTTTGCATACATTCAGTGAACCTCAACATGTGCTCCTTTAGCTGCATGAAGAATGTCCAATCGATAACTGATTTGTTGCCAAGCGTTGTTTAGCATTTTCTGTGAAACATTAGAGATTGCAAGATCTATCCTTTCTCTAAAAATCAGTAACATTACATTACATAACCACACAAAAACATACCCATTGATCACCATGGCCAATCCATCATCCAGGAAACACAATGTAAAGCAAATTATTGATATATAAGGAAACTGTGCAGTGACAGGATGCACTGTCCTGCTGAAACAGTGCCTGGCAGGAAATCAGATTTATTGGACATTCTTCATGCAACTAAAAGAGTACTTGTTGAGGTTCAATGTGCTCCTTTATTGCATACTGAACCTCAACAATTACACCGTCAATGCATGTAAAACAACTCCAGCTTTTGTATTAATAAAAAAAAAAAAACTAAAAACCTTTTTGTAAACTAAATAAATAAAGACTAAATTCTAGTGTTAATTATTTTTTAAAAAGACACTTACTTTGAAGGTACTTCCGCTGGAGGTTTCACCGAAGTTTTTTCTTCTTCATCTGCACTTCTATCGGATGGATCTGAACTTGAACGAGAAAGACTATGCCTATAATAAGATTTAATAGGTGGTGGAGGTAAGTTAGGTGGAGATCGAGATTGACTTTTTTTCTCCTCTGGTGACACCGATCGTGATCGTGAACGAGAATAATGTTTAGTTCTAGGCCAAGATTTGGATCGTGACCTAGATCGTGATCTTGACCTTGACCATGAACGTGATCGTGACCTTGACCTTTAATACCAATTCGCAAATTATTTTCCATATTTAACACTGTTATTATAGACATTAAAACTATTTAATAGTAATTACCTAGAATTATATGTTCTAGAATGAGTCCTGTAGCTTCGATCGTAATTTCTCCGAGCCATACTTTTACTAATGGTAGACGATCTAGATCTAGACCGAGAAGATGACCGAGACGAACTCGAATGAGAATGCTCTCTTCTACGCGACTGATGTTTCTGCAATCTGTGTGTTTTTTTTCCATGATCTGAGCCGCAAGACGACCTCGAGCTTGAAGACGAGTAGTGACGTGATTTTAAATGCTCTTGTAAATGCTGTTTCCCTTTCATAAGAGAATTTCCAGGGGTTCCTGTTGTACGAGTTTTCTTTGAACTGTACCAAAAACAGAACTGAATTAATTATGTGGCTATGTTCCAAAACTAGTAGTAATTCAAAACACATTAAAACTGATTATGTTTGCAAAAGTATATATTTATATATGCACATTTTGTATAAATTTTGATTAAACATTGAATTTTTTAATATAAGGTTAAAAATATATATTTGCTATTAAAATTTTATTCCAAAAAAATAAACCAAAAATTTAAGCCCATATTAATTTTATAATTTTGCTTAAAATTATATTTAAAAAATTTTAATTTATAAAATAATTCTAAGCTATTTAGACTAAAGATTTAAATTTTATTAAAAATAACTTATTTAGGGGCATGTTAAGTTTTGTTTCGTGAATTTAAGAACAGATAGATTCAACTCAAAATTTAAATAAATTTACATTTCATTACACTTAATCACTGTGAAAGTAATAATCCCAAAACATGCTCTTTTTAATTTTTCTCTTGAAAAAATGGCATTCCGCAACACTAGCAAATAATTTTTTCGGGTTTCTTTGATATAAATGATTTTTGAAATAATACAAATTATTCTCTCAGATTTATGAAATCTGGATGTAAAATTTTAAATTTTTAAAGAAAAACATCCAAATCTCTCTTGTTGTGTACCAACCACAATGATATCAATGTCTTTTGCATCGGAAATTAACTTCAGGAGCACCGAAGACAGGGGTCAGAATAAGGAGTTTCTAGACGTGTAAGTAAAAAGGGATTGCAGCCACAGTTCTACAAGTAAAGAAGCAGTTTCCATCTACCGACCGAAGTGTCTTCTCTGATAATTTGCCACCAAGATTCTTTGTCTGTAATTGCTGTGATGTCTGTTTCTTTGTCAAATCTGCAGTAGTTTCTTCGTCTGATCCAACTCCAAAACTTGTTATGAATGTGATGTGCTCTCCTTCAACTGGAGACGGCGATCTTGATCGCGATGTCGAATGTGTTCTAGAAAAAAGAAAACACTAATTTAAAATATTTAAAAATTTTAAACAATATATTTTAATTTTTCTGACTTTACAATATTTGATTACAAATAACTGTTAAAATTTATCTTAACAATAAATTATTCATTACATTTAAATTATATGTATAAAATTTCATAAGTTAAATTATTTCTCTAATCATACATTTTCAATGAAATTAAACAATCATTAACTATATTTTTATCTAAAAATTTATAAAGTTCAATAACAAATACACTCTGTACTCAGATTACACAGATTTATGAAGATCAAGCTGACTTGTCTTTGTGTAATGACTTCTTTAGTCATCATCCCAATCTTATCAGCCATGCCCATGAATGTGAGGAAAGATGAGCTGTGTAGCTACACAGCTCACTTTTCCTCACATTCATGGGCAGGGCTGATAAGACGGGGATGAAGTTAACACATCAAACTAAACCAAACATTTAATTTTTATGATAAACAACAAAATCCAAAGGATAAAATTCTGCAAATAGTATTGAAAAAATAACATTTACTGATTTGTGAATCATATCCTGTCTTATTAAAATAAATGAAACAAAGATATGGAAAAAATGAATAAAATTTTAAAGTCAATTATATACATCAAATGATAGGGACTTGAGAGTCAACCACTCTATTTCTAACTTCTATAGAGACTAATGCACATCAAAATAAATAATCAGCATTTAAATAGTCCTCTGCAGAGTCATTTTATAAAGTAAACAAATTACTGCAAACTTATTAGTCTTCAAGGTATAAGTTGAATCTTATGCTTTCAGTCAATAGCGGCATTACTGAGTTAAAACTTATTCTATCCAATAGAAAATAATTACATTGTTCCAGTAGACATGTCTAATTACATTGATTAAAACATAGATCGACATATTAAAAAAGAATGGAACAATAACAAAAGCACAGTATATATATAGGGTGTAACTGAACTCTGTGCCAATAGGAATATATTCTAGGGTTTAAAAAACAAACCAAACATCCTTTATAAAGGTTTACAAAATCAGCTTAGTTTTTTGAGATATGGCTTGCCAAATCATTGATCAGAAGCCAATTTTAAACCTCCTGCCAAAAAAGACACTGTTGCTTGTTTTCCACTCTAGAACTTGTTTTAATACAAGTATCAAACATCTACCTAAGGACAAAAATATTGGCAAAAAATTCAGCTACACTCTGTATATGCTGTTATCGATTTCAATAAAATCGTACTGGCAGATGCATATATCTGCTTCCACAAATGATTTTTCACATTTGCTAAAGACATTTTTAGTGTCTGTCTGTATATAGCAATGCAACACGTGGGCAACCTGCCAAGGGATAATGCCTTCCAGGACTTTCTATGGAAAACTGGCCCCTATTTTGGTGTTACAAACGTGAAAACAACCCTGAAAACTCCATGTTGCGAAGCTGTTGACAAGGCACAAATACATCACTGAACACTGGTAATCGGTCGTGTTATCCACTCGGCCACAGGTGGACCTGACACTTAAGACTAGAAAAACTAACTGCAAATTACAAAATTGACAGATAAGCCACAAAATTCATATACAGTGGTGCCTCGTATAACGTACGCCTCGAATAACAGACGCTGCGAATAACGGATTTTCTGGTTGACCATTACGTGACTCGAGCAACGGACTTGCTGTGAACAATGGACTTTCCGTTCAGCAGTTACGTGAGACAAACAATGGACTTTTATCGAACAAGTGNTGCATAAAATAATAATTTTCATTAAACAATATATCACCATCACTCCTACTTATATATCTTTGTTCTCTGTTATGTCTTTCTGATTATCCAAAGGGATTTATTGAATTATGTTAGCTACTGTACACTTTGATAATATAATAGTATACTATATATCACATATAGTTTTTGCTTCATTTTATCATCAGAATATGGTAAGATTTTTACGCCACTTTACTATATACATAAAAATAATAATTATATAAATTATTATATCACTATCAGCTTATTTTCTAAATTTGCTTTATGTTTGAGAATAAATTTTTGAAAATGAGGAGCGCTATAATTTATTAATATGTACAAATGTTTTCAGCTTATTTCAGTTTCTGGTTTAATTGTTACATTTGAAAGCTTTTAGAGGATTTTTCCTCTGCTATATAACTGCCAGGAAAGTAATAATGCATTTTTTACATTACATTATCTTGATACCTATAACAGACACCACTTTTACCCTTTTGTTATTTATCCTCTATTTATGCATAACAATTTTGTTATTTGACAGTTCCTGTTAGATTTTTTAAATTTAAAAACTTTTTGCTATAAATACAAATTAAATCTCATTTTACATTTAATATAAAATTAATCATAATAGTATTTTCAATGTTTTTAAAAAATATAAGTTTTGGCTTCATAATGTTGCCTCATGGACTGTGAAGTATTATTCACTATTTATAAAATTAAATTATTACAATTTTTTTTATTTGGAAAAATTCTTTTTTAATGTAAATGTAAGATCAAGTTATAAAATTGTTGAAAAACTACCTACAAAGATAAAACTAAAAAACTTAACCCATTTAAAAATGTTATCATTTCAGAAAAAAATTGTTAAAATTTTATAATGATAATGTGATTATCACACTTCCAAAAATTATTCAAATAGCAGAGTCCTCTTATGATGTGCTCTACATGTGCTAGAATTATTTATAGCTTTATAAACAGTGAGACTGATTTATGGTAACAGAACAAACTAAAATCATGATATAATGTTAGAGCAAGCAAAGCAAATCTGGTGTAAGTGAAATCTGTTAATAAATTTCTCGAATTCTTAAGATAGGTCCACAGATTTGGTATTCACCGTTTTCCACTCCTTGTTGGTATACTGTGACAAATTAAAGGGGACAAACAGGCAATTATTCAGCAATTGGCAAATACAGAGTGCGTGGAGTTGGCTTTAACATCATTGATAATTTTGTTTTTGGTCACACAATAAAAAAAAACCTACTTTAATTATGAATTTTCAAAATTAAGATAATCAGTGAATGAAATTTGTTGAAAAAAATAGTAGTTGGCACTAAAACAGCTGCTGATTGCAAACTACTAACTTTTCATTCAATGGAAATACTTATATATTCATTTCATCTTTATTTTGCAAAATTTTAGTGTAATCAAGAATTCATAATGGTACATAAGTATATTTTGAATCTATCTTCCTATGCAATCTGTAAGTCCTAAATTACATCATCAAGAATAATCTTGATGATGTAATTTAAAATTACTGTATTTTAGAATCTTAAAATATTAAATTTAACAAGAGTTTCAATTTTTTTAAAGTAAAAAAATAAATAAATGAAAATAATAAATTGTAGATTTTTAAAGACATAGTAAGAAGAAAGTAAACTTTATATTCAACAAATATTTTTCCAATACTTTTCATAAATAAAACATTTTTCTCCCTGTTGTCCAGCTTGTATTAACTGAGATAATTGGCATCTCAATCAATTCAGATAAAATATACAATAAAAGTTTGATTATCAATTAATTAATAAATTTCTATACCTTCTAAATTTTGTATTCCATAAATATTGTGATATTTTTCAAAATAAAAATCTGGAAAGTTTAAAGTATTTCACTATATATACGAGAATATGATACTGTTGAGAGTAGCTTTATCTCAATTTTCTGCAGAGTAATCATTCTGGGAAATTCTCAAACAACTTATCATTAAATTAAAGGCTGTTATACACATTACAGAAATCCTCAAAGGATGTACTTAACAGACGAAAAAAAATCGGATATAACTGGCTGGATCGAACATAGTAATTTACAAAACTTATTAAAATATTTCCCAACGTATAAAGAATTATTTTTATTTAAAGGTGGATAGATAGAAAAAAAAATCACGGTTAATCCTCAAAGGATTTCCGTAACGTGTATAACAGCCTTAATATGCCTCAATGTCCATAATTTATTATAATCTTATTTCGTCCACAAGTACGTATTTTCTGTTAACAGGACTTATAAGTCCTGTTAATAGAAAATATGTACTAACGGATGAAGTAAGATTATAACTTATCATCATCCTTAATATAATAAAATTTATATTGAGCATCATAACTTGATAATAAATATAAAATAATGACAGGCACCATCAACTATACAGCACATTTTATATATTTTTTTTTAGAGTAACAAATAATAAATATTTAGCTGTAAATTAAGATATTTTTAAAACTGTTTTTATTTCTTTGTGTAACTTAAAGCACATTTTAAATGATATTTTATCTATCATCTTTCATCAAAATTAATTATATCAATTTTTGATGAACTGATATTGTATAAACAATATTGGGAGAATGAAAATTCTACAACACAACATAAAGATTATTTAGTTTACAAATGCATGGTCTAATATTATGAAGACAAGCACATTTGTTGTAATGAATATACAATGGTTTTAATTATTTGGCAGTATTTTGTTAATTATAATTAACACACACTATTAAAACTTTTCAAACAAACACTAATTTAAAAGTATGTGGTGTCTTAAAATATTAAAAAAAACCAATTTATTTCTAAACAATCAGAATCTAAATTCTATCAAACAAAAATTAATTGTTTACATAGAACAGTGTGAATGATTTATTATGAATGCAATAATCTATAAAACAAATTGCAAATACAGTGTTTTCTTGATACTAATGCACACCTCTTTTGGACTTTTTTTTAGGGAAAAGAGGTATACACATTAGAATCAAGTACAAAGTCAACTTAATGCAGCCTTGTTCACATAATTTACTCTTCACTCAGTTTGGCAATTTGCATGTATTACAATATTAGTATAATCATGGTACATGTCCTTCCATTACTTTGGTTTTAATTTTGATTTGAAATGGTTTGGCAGTCTGTTGAACTACAAGCCAAAGCAAACAATGTTCAGCAGATAAATCTCCTATAAAGTTGTGTTGATAAACACATACAGATATTTCAGCATGATACTATGTATCTGGCAAACTTTATGCATGTGCATACTGATGTGTAATCTTGCTATTAAAACACTGGTCGTATGGTGATTGACTATGATTTTGTATTGGTCTATAGATTCTCTGTAAGTGATAATGGAGTCATAATAAATACATTCGAAAATGTGTTTGTCACTGTTTAAATGCATAAAATTTTGTGGCTGCATTTACAACATAGGGTGTGCATTACATTTACAAGTTAACTTTGTTTGGATATTGACATTTTAAAATTGAGTGTGCATTAGAATCAAGTGTAATTAGAATTAAATGTAATAGTTAAATTTTGCACAATACATAAGTACAGTAGGCCCTTTTTCAACAGACTAATTGTGGAGGTGTTCACTATTGCAGAAAGTCTTAAACTGAACATGCTTTAAGAACATTCCGTAATAATGCAATATACATGTTATATTTTTTAATTTTATTTCATCTTTGTTAATTAAAGAGCCAGTATTATTACTATATGGTATGAATAAAATCAATTACAAACAGTACAAAATATACTATGGCAAAATCTATTTCCAATTCATTATGATACTTGTGTATGAATTATAATTATGTTTCATACATAATTTTGAAGCTTATTTAATATAGATTAGACCTATTGCATCCATTTTACTGTTAATTTAAAATAAATAAAAACAAATAAACCAGCAACAAGTTGCTTAACTTTCCTGACAACATATATTTTAGTGACACCATCTGTTTTTATATTTTTAGCTAAAATATGATAAAGCTTTTTGCTATTTTATAATATTAAAAAGCTTATTTTCATGGTAGGAATGAGTTTTATAAAAAATTGTAAATGCTAATAACGAGTAAAATTGTCATGAAGTCCAATCCCACTGGAGATACACATGATCACCTTTATCTCCCCAATCCCTCAAACAGCAAAATTTAATAGCATCAACCCCCCAATAAACAAGCCTCCCTGCAAAATTTCAGAAATTTTTGACAAAAAGGCAGAGGAGTTAAGCTTCAAACAGGGGAAACAAAATTGTGTCCTCAACATACACTAACATCCATCCATACATACAGAAATCGCTCCCCATTTTTTTCTGCATTTCTCAACATTTCAAGGTGTCCTAAGTCCAAAAATGTAAAATTCATGGGGGGGCATTTTTTTGACTGATTGCCATACTTTCCCTCCATTATAAACAGCCAGGAAAGTAAAAATACATCCAAGTTTGCTCTTTCTTCAATGGCACTCCTCTCTGCCATTATGGCTGTTAAACTTAACCCCATCCAAGATAAAAATGCCTCTGAAAGTAAGTTCTAGTTGACACACTCTCGTTCATTTCCAATTATTTTTTTAAAATTTTGTTATTAATGGAAAAGATTAGTGTGAATTGGATTTTGGTCAGGAAGACACTTTTTCAAATAAAATGATGCCAAGTGAAGAACTCTTACAAGTATGAGAGAAAAACGAAAAACTACATTTGATTAATGGTCGTATATTAATTTTCATGTAGAAATGAATACATAATTATAAAGATATTTGCTCAAAACATGTTTTATATTGAAAATTTTGGGGTCTTAAATTAATAAAGCTTATGAAAAAAAATTTATTTGCTTCTTTATTTTCCCTATTTATCTGTTTAAAAACGATTTTTTTTACAGCAAATATTTCACTAGTTACAATTAGTATTATTATTATTATATATTGTACCAGTATATTGAGTAATTTATACTAATTGACCCATCTTTTAGTCTGTTCTATTTGCAATCAATAATAAAAGAAAAGTTATATATTTTCAAGACATTTTTTTTAATCTATTAAATCCACAGTTTATTGTATTAATTTATTAAATTCACCTTTCTAGATGAATTTAATAAATTAATACAGCCAGCCAAATTCAGCCAGAAAAAATTAAAATCAAAGTTTCTACCAAAAATTCTTCAAAAATAGTTATTGCTTTATTTATAAAATGATACATTTCCCTTCTGAAATGAAATATGCCAGAACTCATATGTAATAAAAACAAAATCGTCATCATAAAAAAAAATAAAAAACACTGAAAGTAATTATATGTAACTATTAAGAACTCAAACAATGCAATTTATCATACAGGGTGTATGAGAAAGATCTGTATTATGAAATTTCATTTAAAAACAAAATAGTTTATCAAAATGTAATTTGTGGTAAAAGAAAGGTTAACTCAAAAAGTTTTTTTAGTACAAAAACTAATACAGAAGCTAAAGTTGTTTTGCATACATTCAGTGAACCTCAACATGTGCTCCTTTAGCTGCATGAAGAATGTCCAATCGATAACTGATTTGTTGCCAAGCGTTGTTTAGCATTTTCTGTGAAACATTAGAGATTGCAAGATCTATCCTTTCTCTAAAAATCAGTAACATTACATTACATAACCACACAAAAACATACCCATTGATCACCATGGCCAATCCATCATCCAGGAAACACAATGTAAAGCAAATTATTGATATATAAGGAAACTGTGCAGTGACAGGATGCACTGTCCTGCTGAAACAGTGCCTGGCAGGAAATCAGATTTATTGGACATTCTTCATGCAACTAAAAGAGTACTTGTTGAGGTTCAATGTGCTCCTTTATTGCATACTGAACCTCAACAATTACACCGTCAATGCATGTAAAACAACTCCAGCTTTTGTATTAATAAAAAAAAAAAAACTAAAAACCTTTTTGTAAACTAAATAAATAAAGACTAAATTCTAGTGTTAATTATTTTTTAAAAAGACACTTACTTTGAAGGTACTTCCGCTGGAGGTTTCACCGAAGTTTTTTCTTCTTCATCTGCACTTCTATCGGATGGATCTGAACTTGAACGAGAAAGACTATGCCTATAATAAGATTTAATAGGTGGTGGAGGTAAGTTAGGTGGAGATCGAGATTGACTTTTTTTCTCCTCTGGTGACACCGATCGTGATCGTGAACGAGAATAATGTTTAGTTCTAGGCCAAGATTTGGATCGTGACCTAGATCGTGATCTTGACCTTGACCATGAACGTGATCGTGACCTTGACCTTTAATACCAATTCGCAAATTATTTTCCATATTTAACACTGTTATTATAGACATTAAAACTATTTAATAGTAATTACCTAGAATTATATGTTCTAGAATGAGTCCTGTAGCTTCGATCGTAATTTCTCCGAGCCATACTTTTACTAATGGTAGACGATCTAGATCTAGACCGAGAAGATGACCGAGACGAACTCGAATGAGAATGCTCTCTTCTACGCGACTGATGTTTCTGCAATCTGTGTGTTTTTTTCCCATGATCTGAGCCGCAAGACGACCTCGAGCTTGAAGACGAGTAGTGACGTGATTTTAAATGCTCTTGTAAATGCTGTTTCCCTTTCATAAGAGAATTTCCAGGGGTTCCTGTTGTACGAGTTTTCTTTGAACTGTACCAAAAACAGAACTGAATTAATTATGTGGCTATGTTCCAAAACTAGTAGTAATTCAAAACACATTAAAACTGATTATGTTTGCAAAAGTATATATTTATATATGCACATTTTGTATAAATTTTGATTAAACATTGAATTTTTTAATATAAGGTTAAAAATATATATTTGCTATTAAAATTTTATTCCAAAAAAATAAACCAAAAATTTAAGCCCATATTAATTTTATAATTTTGCTTAAAATTATATTTAAAAAATTTTAATTTATAAAATAATTCTAAGCTATTTAGACTAAAGATTTAAATTTTATTAAAAATAACTTATTTAGGGGCATGTTAAGTTTTGTTTCGTGAATTTAAGAACAGATAGATTCAACTCAAAATTTAAATAAATTTACATTTCATTACACTTAATCACTGTGAAAGTAATAATCCCAAAACATGCTCTTTTTAATTTTTCTCTTGAAAAAATGGCATTCCGCAACACTAGCAAATAATTTTTTCGGGTTTCTTTGATATAAATGATTTTTGAAATAATACAAATTATTCTCTCAGATTTATGAAATCTGGATGTAAAATTTTAAATTTTTAAAGAAAAACATCCAAATCTCTCTTGTTGTGTACCAACCACAATGATATCAATGTCTTTTGCATCGGAAATTAACTTCAGGAGCACCGAAGACAGGGGTCAGAATAAGGAGTTTCTAGACGTGTAAGTAAAAAGGGATTGCAGCCACAGTTCTACAAGTAAAGAAGCAGTTTCCATCTACCGACCGAAGTGTCTTCTCTGATAATTTGCCACCAAGATTCTTTGTCTGTAATTGCTGTGATGTCTGTTTCTTTGTCAAATCTGCAGTAGTTTCTTCGTCTGATCCAACTCCAAAACTTGTTATGAATGTGATGTGCTCTCCTTCAACTGGAGACGGCGATCTTGATCGCGATGTCGAATGTGTTCTAGAAAAAAGAAAACACTAATTTAAAATATTTAAAAATTTTAAACAATATATTTTAATTTTTCTGACTTTACAATATTTGATTACAAATAACTGTTAAAATTTATCTTAACAATAAATTATTCATTACATTTAAATTATATGTATAAAATTTCATAAGTTAAATTATTTCTCTAATCATACATTTTCAATGAAATTAAACAATCATTAACTATATTTTTATCTAAAAATTTATAAAGTTCAATAACAAATACACTCTGTACTCAGATTACACAGATTTATGAAGATCAAGCTGACTTGTCTTTGTGTAATGACTTCTTTAGTCATCATCCCAATCTTATCAGCCATGCCCATGAATGTGAGGAAAGATGAGCTGTGTAGCTACACAGCTCACTTTTCCTCACATTCATGGGCAGGGCTGATAAGACGGGGATGAAGTTAACACATCAAACTAAACCAAACATTTAATTTTTATGATAAACAACAAAATCCAAAGGATAAAATTCTGCAAATAGTATTGAAAAAATAACATTTACTGATTTGTGAATCATATCCTGTCTTATTAAAATAAATGAAACAAAGATATGGAAAAAATGAATAAAATTTTAAAGTCAATTATATACATCAAATGATAGGGACTTGAGAGTCAACCACTCTATTTCTAACTTCTATAGAGACTAATGCACATCAAAATAAATAATCAGCATTTAAATAGTCCTCTGCAGAGTCATTTTATAAAGTAAACAAATTACTGCAAACTTATTAGTCTTCAAGGTATAAGTTGAATCTTATGCTTTCAGTCAATAGCGGCATTACTGAGTTAAAACTTATTCTATCCAATAGAAAATAATTACATTGTTCCAGTAGACATGTCTAATTACATTGATTAAAACATAGATCGACATATTAAAAAAGAATGGAACAATAACAAAAGCACAGTATATATATAGGGTGTAACTGAACTCTGTGCCAATAGGAATATATTCTAGGGTTTAAAAAACAAACCAAACATCCTTTATAAAGGTTTACAAAATCAGCTTAGTTTTTTGAGATATGGCTTGCCAAATCATTGATCAGAAGCCAATTTTAAACCTCCTGCCAAAAAAGACACTGTTGCTTGTTTTCCACTCTAGAACTTGTTTTAATACAAGTATCAAACATCTACCTAAGGACAAAAATATTGGCAAAAAATTCAGCTACACTCTGTATATGCTGTTATCGATTTCAATAAAATCGTACTGGCAGATGCATATATCTGCTTCCACAAATGATTTTTCACATTTGCTAAAGACATTTTTAGTGTCTGTCTGTATATAGCAATGCAACACGTGGGCAACCTGCCAAGGGATAATGCCTTCCAGGACTTTCTATGGAAAACTGGCCCCTATTTTGGTGTTACAAACGTGAAAACAACCCTGAAAACTCCATGTTGCGAAGCTGTTGACAAGGCACAAATACATCACTGAACACTGGTAATCGGTCGTGTTATCCACTCGGCCACAGGTGGACCTGACACTTAAGACTAGAAAAACTAACTGCAAATTACAAAATTGACAGATAAGCCACAAAATTCATATACAGTGGTGCCTCGTATAACGTACGCCTCGAATAACAGACGCTGCGAATAACGGATTTTCTGGTTGACCATTACGTGACTCGAGCAACGGACTTGCTGCGAACAATGGACTTTCCGTTCAGCAGTTACGTGAGACAAACAATGGACTTTTATCGAACAAGTGCGAATGATGTTTCCACTCTTTTGCCGTTTCCAATGACAATCTGCTATTTTTAGGATATATTAGTGTTATTAGAATGTATTATTAGTATATCTGAAGTAGAAATGTAATGTAATATATGTTGATGATTTAAATAAACATTAAATGTAATGTAATACAGTATATGTTGACGATTCAAATAAACGAAATGTAATTGCGTAGATGCTGAGGTGGCGGGACGAAAAGAGGTTGTAAAAAACAAACAGAGCGAGAGTAGCTCGTAGAAGTGTTTAGTGATCTTAATTAATAAAGAATTATTCGTATCATATAATCTGGCAAGTTAAGTCATTTATAATGCATCATGGCTTCTAAAAAAACAGAAAGGTGATTTCAATTGAAACAAAGCAAGAAATCATCAGGAGTAAAAGTTGACAAAACTTTCTTGTCGAATGGGGAGAGGTTCAGGAGTTTACCAACACTCATTATCCAAACAGAGCTGAGGCCAACAGGATCAATGATCTCTACGATGACACCTTTGTCCGTCATTTCCGACAGGTGTTAAAGAAGAAAGAGAAACAGACCACCTTGGTCATGTTTTTCAAGAAGCCAGCGGGCAAAAAACAAAGGATGGAACAAGAGAAGTTGACCCTGCAAGTTCCGGTAGCCTCTCCTGAATCTGACTCCGATTAAAAAACAATAAAAAAAGACCCGCTGCAATGTGTAAAAAGTCTGTATCTGTATGAATGTGTAAAGAAAGTGTTCTTCCACCTCCTCCTCACATCATCTGACTACCCGGCATAATTGGTGTCTGCTCCATTTTCATTTTTTATGGTACAGTACGGTTATTTTATGCTGCGGAACGAATTATATGTTTTAACATGTATTTCTATGGGAAAATGCGTTTCGTATAACGGACGTGCACCTGGAACGGATTAAGTACGTTGTACGAGGCACCACTGTATATAATTTTAATAAAATTCTATTTGATGAAAATTAATTAGTTTCAAGCTATTTAAAGTAATATGAAAAATATATAACATATACATCATCCCATTCAATTACCATTGCGAAATGAATTGCCAGATTATTTACCAGACTGTAATAAGGCTAATTTAATGATTACATATAAAGCAATTTGGCTATAGCTTTTTCCCAGAATATTCTAAATTTAAATTACATCACAATGCACTTAAGTTTAGTAACGTTTTGCACCAGTACAGTACATCATACTTTTCCTGTTAACAATGAAGTCATGCCAGTCATGTAACTTTGTTCAGGAGAAAATTTCTGAACCGAAATAATGTGACTTTTGGCCCAAAGCAGAAGTTTGTATATAGTTAATTGGGGTCTCCTGCCCCTAAATTTTCCATATCTGATTTTGACTTTCATCTATCTAACATTGTTCTCAAGATTAAGGAAGGACAGACAGTGGGAATTTATAAATTACAATTTTTTTCAAATTGCAGCCCAATTAAAAATTAAATTCACAGTAGAATCATGTATTGCTGATAACCATTGTAATTGTACTGCTAAGAGATAACCAGGGATAACAGAAACTGCAAATAATCATTTATGGACTGTGATTTATGTGACTGCTTGCTTATAACAACAGATACTTAACATCTACACATTCTGCATCTCACTGTATCAATATATCATTTTATTCATTACTATATCAGTATATCATTAAATTCATGACCGCTGCCTACTGGACAAAACTTCATCTCGAATTATTTAATAATAACATCTTATACAACAGATATGGGCAAAAATCATCAAATTTAGACAAAAACCTCATCTCATGTAAAGATTGTCTTAAGTGCTGAAATATTGAAGAAAAAAATTAAAGCTAAAATACTAATGTATTTATAATATTTTTCAGATCAACCTTTACAAAAAAGTGTATAACGCAAGCCTTCACTTAATGCTATTGACAGGTTCTTGGAAATTATACATTGTTTTTGCTTAATGTCACAACGAGATTATTTTACAATAGGCTAAATAATGTATACAAACATAATTTGGTTACTATTGGTTATTGGATCATTTTTGCAACCTTTGGCATTTATTTTCCATCTTGTACAATCGGTTTTACTGTTTGCAGAAAAAATTCACAACAAGAATTGTAAATGGTTACAAATGTAATCTTATCTTTCCTTGACAAAGTTATAATAAAATGACATTAAGTGAGGACTTGCTGTATAGTATTTTTTTTATTGCTGAAGAGAAATAAAGATACTTTGACAATAGCAACTTAAGACAAGACTAAAAATAATGATTAAATACACCAATTATATAATATTGGATCCTAGTTATAATTTTTATTTTTCTCAATTTGCATATAAAAAAACTCTCATTAATTTTGAATGGTTTTATTTGTTAGGAAACAGTGAAATAATAAGTATGATAACCATGAAAAAATCTAAATTATTTTGTATCAGTCATAAAATTAATGTTGAAAAGAGCAAGTACATAAGAAATTTATCAAGATTTTCCTTTTCATCAGAGATACCTTATCAACAATAATACAAATATTTTCTCTGGAGTCTTATTAAAGAGTATTTATCGGAAGTGACCAAACCTTGTAAGGATAGGAGCAATATATCATTTATCAAAAAATATGCAAGAGCTGCATTCTGTACTGGAATGTTATTTTATATTATAGTTAAAATTAGAGATGCCACGAATAGTGATTTTGCCGAATACCGAATATTCGGCTACGCTCTTGGCCAAAGTGCCAAATGTTTGGCAAAGTATGTGTACATTTCGCAAGTGACAGGTTACAACCTGTCTCATTGCAGTGAGTGCGGTAGCGATGCCGCAGGCACATTTGTTTCATTTGCAAGTAGATCGTGTCATGACATGCGTTATTTGTTCATTGTTACATCAAATTGTGTTACTAATAGTCCTTATTACTAAAAAATATCACTGTTTGTTCGCCAAAAGCTTTACAAAATGGCACCATTTAATAATAAAAAAACCACCTATTTGGGAATATTATGAGATTTGTAGTGAAGATAATAAACTTGCTGTGTGTTTGCTGTGTAACAACAAGATCTCGAGTGGTGGAGAAGAAAAGAAAGCAAGTAAGTAAAATCTTATTACGTATTAATTAAGTGAAACAATTTTAGACATATTTAGTATTTGTAATTTTTTATTTCTTATTTTTTTTTGCCCGGTACTTTATTTCACACACAGTATTTCATTAATAAACTTGATATAAGTCCTATTTTCAAATATACATTTTATTTATTATCTTTGAAATTCAGAGGCTTAAGTGAAGCCAGAATAATACAAGTTTAAGCTAGTACTGTTTGGGAATTCCCTTCTTGATGTCAGATTTTTCATTGTTTAATTATTGTGTTCATTTTTTTGTTTACAGCTACGTCTTTGAAAAACCACCTTAAAAGCAAACATGCCGAGCAGTACACTATGTTAACTGTTGCTCCCTTAGCAAGTGGCAGCAAAAATGATGATACTTTTACTTCTACCGATTCCAAGATACTGGCAGTACCAGGTACATCAGGAAAAAACAGTTAACTCTGAAGGAAACAACTGACAGGAAATTGTTATGGGATATTAATGATCCAAAATCAATAAAATATCATTATTTAATCAGTGAAATGATTGCCTTAGACAATGAACCATTATCACTTCTTGAACAAGTCGACTTTAAAAGGCTTATGGAAAAGGCAGTATCTCAATACAAAATACCTGGTTGCACTTACATGACTGAGAAAATTATTCCTGATATATATAATAGAATTTGCTATAAAATTGAATCTAGTATTTCATGAGCAACAGCAGTATCAGTGACATCTGATATTTGGACATGTCAGCACAATAACCAAAGTTTGAGTTTCACTGCGCATTGGATATCTCCAGAGTTTATTCTTGAACATGGCATTTTAGCGATTAAGCTGTTTTCTGGCTCACATACTGGTACCAATATTGCAAAAGAACTCAATGCTATTGCAGAAAGATGAAATATTCCTCATAGCAAGATCCATTTACTTGTCCATGACAGTGGAGCCAATATGATAAAAAGGTGTACGAGACGCAGAATATGATTCTGCCAATTGTTTTATTCATTCACTGCAACAAGCTGTCAAGAAATTGCTAAAGTCTCAAACGGAAATAACACAGATGGTAGTTGCTGCAAGATGAATTGTTACCCATTTTAACCACTCTGGTATAGCACAAGAAAAGCTGAAATGCATCCGCCAAGAACTTAACTTGCCAAACCACTAACTAGTACAAGATGTAAGCATATGCTGGAATTCTACATATTATTAGAACAAAAGCAAGCTGTATCTTTGTACATAACTGATCACGAGTCTTTAAATAATTTAACACCTTCTCAGTGGGAGCTAATGGAACAATGTATAAAACTCCTCAAACCGTTCGAAGAGATTATGAAAATAACCAGCTCAGGTATTTCCTGCATCTCTGAAGTGATTCCACATGTTGTCACATTGTTGAAATACCTGGGAAAGGAAGAGACTGAAGATAGAACACCAAATTTATTGAGAATGAGATGTTCACTACAAGTTGAGCTTGCAACATGGTTCAACATTGATGAGAATGACAAATATCTGGTTGCCACTTTTCTTGACCCGCGTTTCAAAACCAGTTTCCTGGGATTAGTCAAACGCAAAGAGCAAAACAAAAAATTCTTTTAGAAGCTCTGAAAATTAGTTGTGATGAGTCTACTAGTACTGATGATGATTCTTCTCCACTTCGTAAGAAAAGAAATATCAATGAAAATGATAAAACCATTAAAATACACAACAGTTTCTGGAAGTGTTTTGAGGAAGTTGCTACAGAAAATATGCAAAATGATGAGAATGTGGAGAAGAAAAGTGCTATTGAAAACGTGACTTCATATATATGTAATTTAGAATGTCAGACTTGATGAAGATCAAAAACATTCGCCCACACTTTACTTGCATTAAAATTGTACGGGACTGTTTAAGGCTCCTTGAGGTGTTATGTAATATGAGGTCTTGTAATGTGATATTACTAAAGGTGAGCAACACTTGCTTGAAGATACTAAAACACTAACATTAAAAATTTTTAACTTTAAGAAAGCAATTATATTGCATTAAACTAAGTTTTTTGTATAATTTCTAGACTCATAAAATTAAATGTTTATAAGCTTAAATATGGAAGCAGTGGGTTTATTCTGTTAATGTTGAATTTTTCCATATATCTTGATTTAAAAAAACCAACTTATTTTAACCAACTGAAATATAAATTTATTACTTTTCATTTCATTCAGTCATTAAATGTACCTAATTATCAGATATTAAATAATGTCTTGATTTTTATTGCACAGTAATTATATAAATTATTATATACAATTAAAATTAATTTTTTCCATCAAGACTGGTGCATATCTGGAGAGGATCTTGGAAATCAGACAGAAGAGGAAAAAAAGTGTAAATGCAGATGCTGAAAAGTGCATGCTGTACTACAGTGTAAAGCAGGGGTGTCAAACTCAAACTGCTTAAGTGACAATTTTCTGTCTCAAGTATGACAGCGGGCCAATGTTTTTAGCTATTGTAGCCAAAAATTTTCTAAAAAGTAGCCGACTCAAAAAATTCTTTTAATAACCTGAGATTTCACAATAAAATAAAAAAACACCACCATTTGTACTTTTCCGGCAATAAATTTAGTCATAGAACAAACATTTTTGGCCAATTTACAGGCCAGAAGCAGGTCTGTAAACTGATCCGGAAATAAGGATTGCAAGACTCAAAATACAAGCATAGAGTGTAATTTACTAATATGGACTGTTTATTTTGAAAAAATTGTCCATTTTGAAAAAATTGTCCATTATTTTGAAAAAATTGTCCATTTTTGGAAAAAATTGAGAAAACACATAATTACATACAATTTAATGTGAACTTTTTATTTATAAACAATTCACGCTTAACATTTAAAAATAACCATAAGTTTTGATCAATTGAAAATTTATCAGTAAATGACATTGCATAATCATTGATTTTGAAAGTGGTGTAAGTCCATTTTCTACAGTCTAAGCACTTAGGCTGTCAATAAATTACATGTGCATTTTTCTTGAAATTTTTATTTCCCCTTCTTGTCCCAGTTTGTCCAAGTTTTTGTAACCCCTTTCCCTCTATGGATGTCCAACATAACTCTATCCCCGCTGTTAAAACCTTCATCATTTTATGAATGATAGGTACGATAAGTAGAAATGAAACATACAAGAAACTTCGAAATAAATATAATAAAATGCATACTGTATAAAATTTAATGAAATAAATGGATGTCCACTAATACTCAACCCCTCTTGTCCGACTTGTCTTAACCCCCTCCCTCCCTTTCAGTGTGGATATCATTTAAAGACAGCTGTTTAGAACAGAGGAGTAAAACTAAATATTACCAAAAAATGTACAATTTGATGGAATGGAAAAAAATCCATGTAATGAATCTAAATGAAAAGCAGTGTCTAATGGTAAGCTTATAATAATGATAAACTTATCATAAAATAGTTTAACAATAAGTAAATATTTTTAATGCTGAGAATAAACCATATATAATAACAAGAAATAAAATAGTATTAACAAAAATCAGAATAAAACACAATGTGTTTCAATTGACATTAAGTTTTACATAATAGAAATTTAATGAATTTTATAGTTCAATAATTATGAAAGTGGTGTAAGTGCATTTATGACCCAGAAAGAATATATTAGTTTAGTTAAATTCACATAGAAGTCTTTATGCAATCAACTTACATATTTCTAAAGTCATAGAAACATTGTCAAACTTAGTACACTTTATTTATATTTTTGAATCAACTAAAATGCAAATGTTTAAATNATTAGTTGTGATGAGTCTACTAGTACTGATGATGATTCTTCTCCACTTCGTAAGAAAAGAAATATCAATGAAAATGATAAAACCATTAAAATACATGTTTCGTGAATTTAAGAACAGATAGATTCAACTCAAAATTTAAATAAATTTACATTTCATTACACTTAATCACTGTGAAAGTAATAATCCCAAAACATGCTCTTTTTAATTTTTCTCTTGAAAAAATGGCATTCCGCAACACTAGCAAATAATTTTTTCGGGTTTCTTTGATATAAATGATTTTTGAAATAATACAAATTATTCTCTCAGATTTATGAAATCTGGATGTAAAATTTTAAATTTTTAAAGAAAAACATCCAAATCTCTCTTGTTGTGTACCAACCACAATGATATCAATGTCTTTTGCATCGGAAATTAACTTCAGGAGCACCGAAGACAGGGGTCAGAATAAGGAGTTTCTAGACGTGTAAGTAAAAAGGGATTGCAGCCACAGTTCTACAAGTAAAGAAGCAGTTTCCATCTACCGACCGAAGTGTCTTCTCTGATAATTTGCCACCAAGATTCTTTGTCTGTAATTGCTGTGATGTCTGTTTCTTTGTCAAATCTGCAGTAGTTTCTTCGTCTGATCCAACTCCAAAACTTGTTATGAATGTGATGTGCTCTCCTTCAACTGGAGACGGCGATCTTGATCGCGATGTCGAATGTGTTCTAGAAAAAAGAAAACACTAATTTAAAATATTTAAAAATTTTAAACAATATATTTTAATTTTTCTGACTTTACAATATTTGATTACAAATAACTGTTAAAATTTATCTTAACAATAAATTATTCATTACATTTAAATTATATGTATAAAATTTCATAAGTTAAATTATTTCTCTAATCATACATTTTCAATGAAATTAAACAATCATTAACTATATTTTTATCTAAAAATTTATAAAGTTCAATAACAAATACACTCTGTACTCAGATTACACAGATTTATGAAGATCAAGCTGACTTGTCTTTGTGTAATGACTTCTTTAGTCATCATCCCAATCTTATCAGCCATGCCCATGAATGTGAGGAAAGATGAGCTGTGTAGCTACACAGCTCACTTTTCCTCACATTCATGGGCAGGGCTGATAAGACGGGGATGAAGTTAACACATCAAACTAAACCAAACATTTAATTTTTATGATAAACAACAAAATCCAAAGGATAAAATTCTGCAAATAGTATTGAAAAAATAACATTTACTGATTTGTGAATCATATCCTGTCTTATTAAAATAAATGAAACAAAGATATGGAAAAAATGAATAAAATTTTAAAGTCAATTATATACATCAAATGATAGGGACTTGAGAGTCAACCACTCTATTTCTAACTTCTATAGAGACTAATGCACATCAAAATAAATAATCAGCATTTAAATAGTCCTCTGCAGAGTCATTTTATAAAGTAAACAAATTACTGCAAACTTATTAGTCTTCAAGGTATAAGTTGAATCTTATGCTTTCAGTCAATAGCGGCATTACTGAGTTAAAACTTATTCTATCCAATAGAAAATAATTACATTGTTCCAGTAGACATGTCTAATTACATTGATTAAAACATAGATCGACATATTAAAAAAGAATGGAACAATAACAAAAGCACAGTATATATATAGGGTGTAACTGAACTCTGTGCCAATAGGAATATATTCTAGGGTTTAAAAAACAAACCAAACATCCTTTATAAAGGTTTACAAAATCAGCTTAGTTTTTTGAGATATGGCTTGCCAAATCATTGATCAGAAGCCAATTTTAAACCTCCTGCCAAAAAAGACACTGTTGCTTGTTTTCCACTCTAGAACTTGTTTTAATACAAGTATCAAACATCTACCTAAGGACAAAAATATTGGCAAAAAATTCAGCTACACTCTGTATATGCTGTTATCGATTTCAATAAAATCGTACTGGCAGATGCATATATCTGCTTCCACAAATGATTTTTCACATTTGCTAAAGACATTTTTAGTGTCTGTCTGTATATAGCAATGCAACACGTGGGCAACCTGCCAAGGGATAATGCCTTCCAGGACTTTCTATGGAAAACTGGCCCCTATTTTGGTGTTACAAACGTGAAAACAACCCTGAAAACTCCATGTTGCGAAGCTGTTGACAAGGCACAAATACATCACTGAACACTGGTAATCGGTCGTGTTATCCACTCGGCCACAGGTGGACCTGACACTTAAGACTAGAAAAACTAACTGCAAATTACAAAATTGACAGATAAGCCACAAAATTCATATACAGTGGTGCCTCGTATAACGTACGCCTCGAATAACAGACGCTGCGAATAACGGATTTTCTGGTTGACCATTACGTGACTCGAGCAACGGACTTGCTGCGAACAATGGACTTTCCGTTCAGCAGTTACGTGAGACAAACAATGGACTTTTATCGAACAAGTGCGAATGATGTTTCCACTCTTTTGCCGTTTCCAATGACAATCTGCTATTTTTAGGATATATTAGTGTTATTAGAATGTATTATTAGTATATCTGAAGTAGAAATGTAATGTAATATATGTTGATGATTTAAATAAACATTAAATGTAATGTAATACAGTATATGTTGACGATTCAAATAAACGAAATGTAATTGCGTAGATGCTGAGGTGGCGGGACGAAAAGAGGTTGTAAAAAACAAACAGAGCGAGAGTAGCTCGTAGAAGTGTTTAGTGATCTTAATTAATAAAGAATTATTCGTATCATATAATCTGGCAAGTTAAGTCATTTATAATGCATCATGGCTTCTAAAAAAACAGAAAGGTGATTTCAATTGAAACAAAGCAAGAAATCATCAGGAGTAAAAGTTGACAAAACTTTTCTTGTCGAATGGGGAGAGGTTCAGGAGTTTACCAACACTCATTATCCAAACAGAGCT